GTCATCTTACATACATGTGACCTCTGAACCGGCCAGAATTGCTATGCGTGAAATATGCAAATGATGCTATCACTGGCAGTGCTATGAGATCAGCATTCTATTTTATTTGCTGTTGGAACTGTTTCAATGCACTGAAAGTCATCATTCAAGCGAATAACATTAATGTGATCGTGAATATAAAGGAATCAATCAAGTATGCAACTGCTAAGCGAAATGGCTTAAGAAAAGTGACTTACCTGAACTGACTGAGGCTGAACTAGATCATATTATTGTAAGCTTGGCACCTAGTTTAACGATGAAACATCTGGAATATTCTGATCAACAGTACGCTTAACTGGAAAGTGTTATGTTGGCCATATATGCGATCGAATCCGGCGAGTCTCTTATTATTGCTGGTAACTTCGAAACTTGTGTGCAGGCACCGATATCGTTAAGAGAATCTCTCTGTTATGGCTCTCGTCATGTCGTTCATATCTTATGTTGCTCGTGTATTTTTTTCCGGTTTCCTTTTAAAAGTTTCGATGATCTTTGAAAATCCTTCAAGTTGGGTAGTATCAAGGAAAACTACATCTTCAACTGTTGCTGACATCTTTGATCATGGCACGATTAACCTGCCTAGCCAAGGCAATTCTTAGCGATGAATTCTATTCTCGATATTTTCCCCAGTGCCTACCGAAAATACTGATTACTTAATCTGCCTACGTACGCATACGTGCTTTAGCAGTATTCTACAGTTTCTTTCTTTGCAAGGATACTGGTAGATACTGAAAAGGATTGTGATCAACTCCTGGAAAAAACTGTGAATGATTATCTTTGACCACGTCGGTCTTTTCATGTCCATATGTCGATTGCTTTGTAAATCTTGCGGTCTTATCCATTCAACGCACATATGTGTGATTTCTTTGCGGAACTATGATATTGTTACTAGACTGACATTGCAACTCAGCAGCTACAACAAATAAAATATTATTATTACGTCAAAGATTATCATCCTCTGTGACTTGAATGGTCAATGTGTAGGGTGTTCATCTAGCAGATTTCAGAATGTAGTAGTCACTACGAAGATCGATCAAGGACTTCAGTTTTCTTGACACGAACTTCCTGTTTAGTCTTCTTGGTGTTGTGGGTTATTCACCAAGCATTAAATTTTGAACGGCCCCTGTGGCAGTTCAGCGACTGGTTCCCAGTTGATGGTTCAGATACATTCACGATTAGGATGAAATCAGTAAACCAGAAATATAGATAACACTGATGAACACAAAATTCAGTTTATTTCTGTGTTATACTGTAGCACAATTGTTGTTTTGTCCATGATTTCTTATATGAATTTATTGCTTTATTACTGCATCTGTTTATTTGTTGTTTATTTATTCAAATTTTTTGTTTTCTGTACTGAAAGGAACGAAAGGATTCGTTGTCATAGTAAGGGGTATTCGTTAGCATAGGTAACTGCCAATGCTGTTCGGAACGTCGGTTCCGCGTTGTTGCCCACCCCTCCCCTCAATAATAAGAGCTCAGTTTTTCTGTTATTTTTGGTTCTGTTGCTTGTTCTGCCCTCAAAGGAGGCGTAGGCAAATAAGCGTAAGCTTTACCTGGAGGTAATAGCACTACTCCTTTCTTCAACGGATTCCTGCTTTGTTTTATCTGCGGTGGTTTGTGATTATAATTAGCTGTTTAGGCGCCCAGCCATGTTCCATGATGTGTTGCACCGTCCTCTGTCTCCTAGTTTCCTGGGAGCCACGGTTTCATTGTATGTGTTTCAGCAACTGTAGTGCCAGATGCATCTCGCGTTCTTTTGATCGTTAGACTACATTACCCTCGTTGCGAACGATGCTTCAAGAGCTGGTACTCCTTGTGTGCTGTCGCATAAGCATTGTATGTTGTTCGTAAGTCTGAGTATGTCAAACAACGAATCACTGCTCCAAGACCAGATTTCTTAACGTATTGCACGGTCCCGTTGCTCGTAGTTGCCTTGATTTATTACCGTATTTACTGCATTGTCCTTCTAAAAAATTACTATTCAAAGAACTTCAAATTATTTTAGTGTAATACGGCACTGCAGCTGTCACTGGTGGCGTTTACCGTTGGAACCGAGATCTTCAGTTGGAATTTATCACCGCTTCTACATGTGTTATGGTAATATTTGCACTCTTTCTTGTAATGCGTTCTTATTTAATTCATCTTAAAGCCCTGCTGAATCGGCTTCTTTAAACCCCTTTGTGAATTACAAGTAATCCGCAACCTCCATAATCTAACATTTTCACATTAGTATTCGTAATTCAATGTCCTGGACGTCGGTTTAACCCAAAGACTATCAAAATCGAGTCTTCTGTTATAGAAATTAAAAAGTATTGTTTTTTATTGACTGATTCTTCTTCGCAGCTAACGAAGATTACCATTGCGTAGTGTCGATGCAAATATTAATCTGTTTTGAGTGAGTTGTCGCCACAAGTTTTTATATCTCTGTTTCCTCATCGGCCCATCTCAATTCGTATCATCCAAATGGAGCGTTTGCAGCTCCTTGAGTATGCATCGGTCACTATTGAAGTCTTCGATCATCAATTAGTCATGTGATGTAGTCCACGTCGTTTGACTCAAGCTGCCTGCAGAAGACCGGAGGCCGTTCGATTCGATTCGATCTAGGCAAATGGTTTTAGCAGCTGTTCATGCTTGTTTGCTCCAGGGGTTATAGACAGAAAGCATACTTGCCTTTCACCCCGGCTAAATGGGATTTCACATGACGGCTTTGTCTGGCTTGGCCTTCTCAAAGTTTCCTCGATGAGCTTGGACATGATCGCCTCTTCAACGGAGGTTTCTCCTCCACACCACGGACCGGTGCCTCATCTATTAGTAAATTGAGAAAAAAGTGATTTAAACTAATTTAAAAAGTAGTGATAAAATAATTACGAAGTTATGATTAAAAATTACACTTAAGAATAATTTAAAATACTTAAAATCTTAAACCTCAAGAAATGGGGAAGAGTAGAAACGTGTTTTTTGAAGTACGCCATTCTTGAAGGATGTGTCTGCCATCAGTAGTTCAAGTTTAGTTTTTCTCATAGTAGAGTTTCACGTTCATGCCTCCTAAACATCAGATGTTCAGCGAATGGTCCTTTTCCATCGTGATAGGTGGGATGCTTTCACAAGACTAATGAGAAGTGACGCTCTGAGTGAATCAGATCTGTCACTTACGTTTGTTGTTGTTTGCGTCTCTCAAGCAGCTTAATATCAGCCATATGAGATGTGCTTCGATGATGCTACCGAAGCACTTTGGCAGTACAGGCTTTTACCAACGCCAGTTTGGTACTTTCCATGAATCGACGAAACTGCTACAATTACATGATACTCTGGATATTTTCGCCAGTGATTTAATTATAGCTCCAGAGTGGTGGCACTGAGTCACTCTCTCTTGCAGCGAGTCTGCATATTTGAGCATTGTTATTCACACAACAACATATGGACCTGCAAATGATGCGACTCTCTCGGGAAAGGTTGTGAACAATTTCAACTCATTTCGCAGTCGAAGGATCAAATATTCGAATCCAAGCTGAACCATCACCTCCCGTTCTTCCGAGATACTTAAACGAGTACCAACTTATGGCAAGCAAGGGATTTGTGCCCCACTGTGGCCACAGCCATAAGCATTGCCTTCCTAAAGAAGCACTCTGGATTGCAGGATTCATGGCATCCGAAGGCAAGCAAGACACTGCACCATAAACTACATGTAAAAGATGCCATAACTGACGTCCATCATTGAAGCGCAGGTGCTACTAGCGTCGTAACGGTTTTCTCTTCAACGATATGAACGTAATTGAGAAGTCAACAGCAAAAACCTACTTGCCCTAATGTTATTCTGCAGAGAGAAATTTTATTTCGTTTTCATTCCATTTGGTGTTAACAGATCTTGAGCACCAAAAGTATGCATGTTGTAGGTGATAACATTCATTCAAAATGTCAATTGGAAGTTCTAAGCTTATCGACACCCGATCTTCAAAAATGCCGCATATCGTAGCTGTGGTGATTAGTTGACAGCATGTCGTAATACTCATTGATATACTGTATAGAAATAGTAGATACTGTACAGTCCACAGGTTTATTAATATTTTGCATCATTAAAAGATTCTGATTCTGAACTAAAGCAGTATCTGAATTGCTACTAGGCTCTCACTGAAAGAACTTCCACTTCATTTTGGCTGTGCAAAGCTTCGCCGTTATCTGCTGCAGCATTTTAATTGTGAATATTTCTATTCTACTAAGTCTGTAGTATTTCTCTTTGCACAGGGTGGCTCCTCGTCAATTATATCTGTTTTTCATCCTGAAGTCGATTTGCTGCAAAGCTTGTGAATTTAAGGTATTCTACCGCAGCGACGACATTGGCATCAGGCATTGGGTATGCATGGTCGAAGAACTACAGAATTATTAGTTCCGAATCGCAAAAGAAATGATACCTTTTATTTGTTTTCAGTTTGGATCATACGAGAGAAAAAAAAAACAAAAAAAAATTGAAATTAACATAAATTAGGAAGTGAATCGCTGCACTAGAAAGTTGTTGCCAACATCTTTCTGGAATCCAAACCGCGCGTAGTACGTAATCAAATGGTCTTTGCATTCGAGCGATGCTTTGTAGCAGCCAAAAGTTTCCGCCAGCAACGTGAGAACGGTCATGATTCTAAAAGTGATATTTAAAAAGAAAGAAATTTAGAAGTATGTACAAATTCGTTAGACCAAATAAAATATCCATTTCGAAGGCTAAAATACAGTTCACTGTTTCAGAAAACCGTGCACAAACCGTTGGTCACTGAAAATATTCACTTTGAACTTTGAACGCATTTGACGCTCGAAAAATGAAGTTGTGCCTATGAGTTTGCTATAAGGCAAGATTTCTGCAATAAGGGTTAACCCGGCGACTGTTTCTGGATAATTTGTCTGGCGTACGATGTGTGTGGGGGCATCTTCATGTGAGCTGCTTTACGAGTGAAACTATGGTCATTATGCGTAAGGGGTGTCCGTCAACATTATAAGGAAGCTGCTACACTAACCGTTTTACGGCCATTACAAAGAAAGCAACGCCGGAAGTTTGACAAAGCTGTCAGCATGGCTAGAATTTTCGAAAGGCCTGCAGATCAGCCCTCGTGCCAATCCGTTGTCTGAAAGACAGTTGCAACTTTGCACTTTTCGCGTAGTGCAATTGTGTGGAACTGACTTCCAGCGTTACCACATCCATATGGTCATCAGTTTTAGAGTCCCATTTTCGAGCTGATCCTTACGATAGCCTGTTGCGCAAGAAAAAAAGGAAACGTTAGAATATCGGTCTTCTTTACACTTCATGAATCGAACATCTCTGGCGCCCTTCTTTTCATGAAATTAATGACGAGA